AGCACTACCTGCGCGAGGACATCCCCTGCGGCGCCGCCGCCTGCCGCCTCGGTGGAGACAGGCCTGAGCGCTGGGCAGGGCCCGCCGCCTCCCTCTGAGCCCGGCCGTGCTCCCTGTGGTGAAACCTGTGGGGGTGTGAGTTACCCCGCGCCACTTAAGCCTGGGGTTCAGGCATCGTTCCTCGAGAGGCGCGCCTAGCAAGTGCCCTATCGGGCTGGGGGTCTGTCTGCCCGTTGTCAGTTGTGTCCGCTTGATCCCTGAACGCGTAGTCTTTTCTTCCTCTGCCAACTGCTGAGGAGACATTCATCATCACCGAGTCTAGTCGCGTTTTAGACTAAACTCCAGTTTTATGTTTTGCCGCCTGAACATTAGTAATAAAGAACAGCGAGGTTTTTTGTTTGTTGTAGTCTGGTATGGGTTGAAAAGTCACGCAAGGAGAATGAATATGGATTACTTGGGAGAGAGGCACAACATTTGCATGTTTTAGCAGTTACTCATCCCAGAAGTTGTAAGTATGGATTTTTTTCCATACTTAAGAATGTTAAGGCATGTTTCCAGTCTGTTAACCATGGACTTCTTGGTGTTTGTTGGTAGAATTTGTATATGCATGCTGTAGAGCCCTCTGAGATTGTACCAGGTTATGCTGCCATGAACTGGAGCAGTGGGGATTAGTAAATCTTGGTAACAGTAAGAAAAGGTTATACCTAGCAAATGGAACAGGATTGCAGTAGTAAGACTTCGCCTAGTAGTTCAGCTTGTGCATAGAATAGTACTGGATTTTTGCCCTATGAACATGGCTCTCAGTCTTTTAGGTCATCTAAACATCAGGTGCAGAGAAGCTTGGCATTGTTTCTAATTCTTTTAGCCATGCCCTCTAGAGCCTTACTGCTGTCTCTTTTCGGAGATGTGTCTGCACAGTTCCTTGCCCCAAGCTTAAGAAATTAAACTCACCTTTTTCTCCTGACAGGAGCATGGATTTTTGGTGTACATTTGTCTCTCTTGCCACAGCATAGCTGTCAGGAATTGACAAAGAAAAGTGTTGAAAAACTTTTAACAAATTTCCTAAAGAAAAAGAAAAGGTCTTTGAAAAGGTGAAAAGCAGCTAACAGAAGTCTGGTTGATTTGAATCTATGGAAATTAAAATTGTAGCGGAACAGTGAGATTGGTTTTTGAGAACTTAAACCTTACACATTCACAGGCATGTCCGTGTTAGCTGTGTAACAGTGGTCAGGTACTATTTTATGGTTTGTGTTGCTCACAAAGACATATGACAGACAGCCTTTAAAATATGTTGGATTATTGTTAGATTGTGCATAGGTGTATCTTGTTTACGAAGATTATAATTTACAAGAACCCATTTTATATAAACAAAACTTCTAGTGTACATCTGGCCTTAAATTTGATTGGGGTCCTGCGTACGTTCTGGCTGAATTTGGTGGAAGTCAGAAGAAGTCGTTATCTTGACTCCAGCAAAACTCGGGTCATGAAGAGGCTGTGAAATCCTGTTTGAACTTTTTGCCCACAAGCTGGAGGAAGCAGCTTAATGTATTGTTCAGTTTCCCAAGGGTAGAAAATGCAGAACCAGTGCAATTCATTATTCATGTTAGCTTTTCACACGTTAGCCAAACAAATATTTCAGGTCCTGTTATTGGTTAGAATTAAACAACAATTTTGATTCATTTCCATTTTGTTCCTCAGATTGATATACTTGAAGATCCTGTTATTAAGAATGTCATCGTGCTACAGACAGTCTTACAAGAAGTCAGGAATCGGAGTGCACCAGTGTACAAGCGAATCAGGGACATGATTCAAAACCCTGAAAAACATTTCTATTCTTTCACCAATGAACATCATAGGTAAGGTGTGGAATAGGGTATTACAAAGTTGTACTTCTGTTTCCCAGTTTCTTTTACTGGACATAACTGGAACATGTGAGCTAGGTAAAAAAATTAGACTGGGGTACATACAACTGTATACTTCTGTGGAATCCTCTTGGGAAATAGTTGTATGTTCCAAGAGCTTTTCTGGTTTATGATTAGTATAAGCATATATATTATGAAAAGGTGATTATAATAGAGTTTATAGACAAGCCTGTTAACTCGAGCAATATAATAATGCTTTTCCATTTTAGTGTCCCCTTTAAACATATTCCAGTGGTTTATTAATATTGCCAGCTCACTCTGTAGCTGAATGCAAAAATCTGTTAGTCAGTTAGTGACAGAAAGATCTAAGAAATGAAGATGCAATTGGTTTGCCTTTATTTGTGCTCACAGGTAGTTTTCAATACTGCAGTATCATAGTTTTGGGAATCTTGAATCCATAGTTCTAGCAACTTGAATGCAGTCCTCTTCGACTGTCAGTGAGAAGGTTGTATTAGAAATTAGCACTTACTGGTTTTCTTTACCATTCTGTCTTCTGACCCTTCAATGGCCTATAGTGTTATAAAAAGATATTATAAAGATATAAGATACTATAAAAATTGGTACAGCAATGATTCTTTTGACCTCACAACCTTGTTCTTGTTTGTCTGAAAAATTTTTGTAAGTATGGATGGATGTTGGAATTTGTCTTGTTTTGTTTCTCCCACCTCCGCCTTTTCTTTTTTATTTATTTAGAGAAACATACATAGAGCAGGGGAGAGGAGAATCTTCTAATGACCGCAATGACAGAGCCATTCGGGTAGCAGTTAAATGGTACAATGAACACTTGAAGAAAATAGAGGCTGAGGAGAAAATTCAAGTTATCTTTTTAACAAATGACAGAACTAATAAAGAGAAAGCTCTAGAGGAGGGAATAACTGCTTATACGTGTAAGTGAAGTAGCATGTATGTTTAATTTATTGCTCAGATAAACAATCTCAGCGGTCTCTTCCTATCTAAATCCCTTGCGTCTCATTTATGTGTGTGCTTTTTGTAGGTGAGGAGTATATAAAAAGCTTGACAGCTAATCCTGATCTCGTAGATCGTCTTGCTTGTGTATCTGATGAAGGGGTATGTTTTTATTTTCTTTTTATAAAAGAAATTAATCACAAATGGTTTGCAGTATATTATTGGACACTGCATGTCAGGCTACTAGCATCAGTTTAGAATATGAGGACTCTGGACTTTATCACCATTTTGGCAATATAACTTTTTGATAAATGAGGAAAGGAAATATTGCAGCTGTTTTTACTGCTGCTCATATGCCTTTTAGTAGGTATCTAGTTATTTGTGAAAAGCCAGTTGCTTTAGATAACTGATGTGAAGGTGAGAATAATAATAGTTAAAGAAAGTGTATGGAAATTCCATTATTAGAAATAATGGAAACAAAATGAAAATTACAAAAGTGTGTATTGCAAACCATTTAGATCTTTGTATCTGTTATTCAAAAGTTTATATTAACTTACCAATCAAAAGAATTTTCTATCAAAAGCCCTGATTTTTGTGGTCAGTTAAGTTGATATAAGTTCAGGCTGCAGTTCAGAGATGAGCTACATGCTGTTTTATTTCCTTGTGCTTTGTGTTTATCTAAATCAAGACTTACGTTTTCACATAAGACTGACATAGCTGAAAACTAACCACCAAAAAAATGTCAAGGTTAATTTAATCAGATTTCTAACTGAAGGGAGTGGACTGCAGGAGTGGGAAGAAAGTGGAGGACTCAGCTGATCTTCTCAGCTGTTAGCTGTAGTTCATTCAGCTTTAAGTAATTGTCTGACTGTTCCAAAGTTTAGTCCCAGTAATGTATTTTCTTAAGGTTTCATATAGCTTATGGTATATGTTACACTGTCATACTCTTTACTGTGTAGTACTGTGCTAGTATTTTCTTCACTAGGTATATATTTAGTTAGTATATCTAAATCAGCATAAAATCGTATGTCACTTGTGTATTATCTTTTTAAGTAACATCAGGCAAACAGGAAAAGAAAAGGAAGTATTCCTAGAATTGCCATGTTTATATGTTCTTAAGGCTTTTTATGCTTCATTTAAAAAATAACCGCTTAACAGTAGTTTTTCATTATTGTGCATATTTATACCTACACATAGTTACAGTTTTATAGTTTGTGAACTCATGTGTCATGTTCCCGAGCTTGGTGTTAGAATGTTCATGGATAAAAAAACCCTGGGTTTTTGTTTTTTTGGTGTTTTTTTTTTTTTTTTAGAAAGAAATAGAAAGTGGAAAAATAATTTTCCCAGAACATATTCCTCTTAGCAAATTGCAGCAAGGAATAAAATCTGGACTTTACCTCCAAGGAACATACAGGGCAAGCAGAGATAATTATCTTGAAGCTACTGTTTGGGTTCATGGGGATGCTGAAGAAAACAAAGAGGTGAGTTTTTCATTTTGCCTTCATGCTGTGAACTTTAACTTGCCTCAGTAATGACTTAAAATGTAATTCTTTCATGGTGACATCTGTTAATATGGATCATTATAGTCATTTTTCCTCTTCTGTGTTTTTTCTTTTTTTTTGTTTTATTTGTATGTATATAGACTATTGAAATGTGAATAATTTCTATTGAAATAGGCTATTGAAAAGAGAATAATGTTTTTAAAACTACACTTTGTGCTTTGATAAAATATTTGGTAAAATAAAGCTGAATCTTAGTTGTTAATAGTTTTTCAATTAATTCCAATATACAACTTCTTTAAATTAGTTTGAAATATATGGTGAAAGAGAAACAAGTTTGTAGGCTGGTTTTTGGAAGAACTGGTGAGCCCCTATGGGGCTTTCTTGCTTTACTTCCTGTGCTGTTTTCATGCCTGGTAATGGGTAGATGGTGTGTTTCCCTCCAAACAGTTAACCCATCTGTCTGCCTGCTCGTTTCTCTGTTGGTACAGTTGTACAGACGCTGTGGCAGTTGCCTCCTACCTCTCTATTTGTGGTGACAGCTGGAGGTGCTTCCCTGGCCATTTCTTTTATTCCTATTTCCCAGTAGTATGTGGAATCCACTTGACTGCAAAAATAGAATTGTCTGATTTAATAAAATAAGTCTGGGGAAACCTATTTATTTTTATGGAGTCAACTGGAATCCTGAAATAATATCAGGATAAAATAATTTCAGGAAATGAAATAATTTCAGGATTCAGTACTGAAAGAAATCTAGGAAGAGGAAAAAAACCCCAAACCATGCCTTATAATGTTCTTTAGAGTGCAGAGCCTGTTATACATGTATATTCTTCTGTTACACTGCTTTGATTTGGGTCTTCTATTGCTATCATCATGAATAATTGCATTTTCATTTTGTTTTCTAAAAAATACAGATAATTATACAGGGACTGAAACATTTAAACCGAGCAGTTCATGAAGATATTGTAGCTGTGGAATTGTTGCCAAAAGATGAATGGGTGGCACTGTCTTCAGTGGTCTTGCAAGATGATGGCCAGAATGAGGATGACATTGAAATTGAAGAGGAAAAAGAAAACCTTGTATGAAATAAATAATTTTTTACTTAACCGTTTAAACTGAGAAAGGTGAAATCTGCAGTACCCTGATAGTGTTAGCCTTCAGATTTATATGTTCTTTTTATACTGTTGTGAATGTGGAAATTATAAAGCTTAATTTTAGTCCTACGGTTGCATTAAATATGTGATTATGTATAAAATTGATACTTTATAATTAACCCCAATCAGAAATTCCCACATTACATTGTTAAAGTTAATAAACTTGAAAGTTACTGAGTGGTAGTCAGGTAATAATGTAAAGCTACATACCAGTGTGCAGATAAGGGTTTGCTAGAATAGGAGCGAGCGGTGTATTGCAGTGACAGTCAGCTTTTATAGGCAGTGCTTACTTGTGGAACCATTTGTAAAATATTCTTTAGCTTCTTGTGGTAATTCTGATTAATGTGCAAGCAGTGTACACACATGTATACCCTGTCCAGCAAATACTTGCATTTCTTTAAAAACATGATCTTCCCACTGAATTCCTTGGCAATTATTTCCTTTTAATTATTATGTTCAGAATTAGGATAATTTTAAAGCAACATGAAAGCACTAGAAATTAAGTAAAAGAAAACGGAGATGGTTGTGGAGTAAACAGATGGTGGGACAAGACAGTATTTCTTCATGGTCTTTTTCTGCTGTTCTTTGTTTTTCTGAAATGATGCCCATTAAAAAAAACACCCATTAAAAAAAATACCCACAATGAAGGTGTCATGTCACATACTAAAACTATTAAAAGTGATGCAAAGCACAGGGAGGCATAGTTCTGTTTATGAAGTCATATAGAATTTACGGTATTAGAGTGATGCGGAAGATGTTACCACCAAGGTTGAAGATACATGCTGTCATCAAACATGTTAACGTGAGTTCAGTTTTGTATTTTTAACCCCTGTGTGTTCTACTAGCTGAAGACTTCTGTTAACAAGGACATGCTGAGACCTACCGGAAAAGTAGTGGGCATTATAAAACGAAACTGGCGACCGTTTTGTGGCATGCTTTCCAAATCACAGATCAAAGAGGTAAGGAAATAATCCGGATACTGTAAATGCAGATTTTTTTTTTTTTTTTTTTTTTTTTTTTTTTAAATTGGAAATTATTTGTTCCTCTTTTTTTGACTGTTAAAAGGCAAGGCGCCATTTGTTTACACCAGCTGATCGCAGAATTCCTCGCATTCGAATAGAAACAAGACAAGCAGATACATTGGAAGGACAAAGAATAATTGTTGCTATTGATGGCTGGCCCAGGAATTCCAGGTATCCTAATGTAAGTTTAAGCATTTTCTTCTGACCTGTCTATCTGAGTTTTATGTATTAAGACACATTTATTATCTGCAATGCTGAGTAACTTCAAAAAGTGTTGATAAGAGTTTTGAGTGCCATTTGATGATGCAAATTAAGGAATTCCTTAAATGATTTAGTTTACTCTTACCCCCCAAACCAGGTATGTGTTATCATACTTAAAAAGACTACTCCTCAGGTTCTGCAGTGAACATACATGTGCTAACTAAAGTGCTTTCTTTATTTAGACTAACCAGGGACTACCTTGTTTTGGTCATGTGTTCCTAGAAATGGGAATTCACTGTGAATTTTCTCATCCACACACTGATCACTGTCCTGGCAAGTAGTTTTAAACACATTGGCCAAATTTAGTCAAAGTGCTGGTGGGGCTGAGTTAGTCAATTAAGTTCTTTATTCTTTGTAAATAAACATCAGGCTTTAAGAGAAATTAAGGACAGTAGCTTTTTGTTGAACACTTAACTAGGTTTTGAAGAGGCTTCTGTTGGCCATTGTGTAGGAATGCATAGTTTGTGCTGAACAAGAACACAGGTGTCTCATGCAAGTTTAGAGAAATGAAGGAACTTTAGAATATATGGAAGGAGTGTTAAGACAAAGACAGCATTACTACAGAAGATGAAAGACATGAGGGAGGAAGTAGAGTTGATGAGGTATTAGGGAGTGGGATGTGTGGCATAACATGAACCCCAGAGAAATTAGACCTTACTACGTTTGCTGCTTATGCAGCAATGTTTTCTTATTTCTTACAAAACTGAATTGCCACTTTACAAATTTTGCAGTGTTAAACTGTGGAGAATTTAGTGGTGTTCTAGGAAAAGAGGGGGGTGTATGTAGTTCAGACTTACTGAATCAATTAACTGTTTGAAATTAAATTTCTTTCTTAAAGATGAGAAAGTTAACTGAAAAACCAAAGATTAGTCAGTAATGTGTAGTTCAATATATATTAAAAACCTATGGGATAATTGTCTCAAATACTTATTTTGATCAAACAGTATTGCTTGATGTGCATGTGTGTATATATTTGTATGTATATTGTTTCTCCCTCAGGGTCACTTTGTAAAGAACTTGGGAAGTGCTGGAGATAAAGAGACTGAGACAGAAGTTCTTCTACTTGAACATGATGTCCCTCATCAGCCTTTTTCCCAGGTTGTCCTTAGTTTCCTACCAAAAATGCCATGGAGCATTACAGAACAGGTAATAATTTTAAAATTATTGTAATAATTACCGTGCCTTCTCCTTCAAATCAAACCATGACATTCTTGGATATCTCAGTGCACCAAAAATAGAGGAGAAATGTTGTCCAAAACCATTTTGGTTTAGGGTGAGCTTTCAGCTGGATTTCCTATGGAAACAAGGTCTCTGCAAGTTTTTGGGGTTTGGCTAAAACTATGTTTGTTAAGGGTAGACATTTTATGATAAAAAACATATTGCAGGTTTCATTTAAAAAATAAAGTTTTCTTTCTTTTTTTTTTTTTTGCCAACAAGAGAACTACAAATAATTGTGACATCATCCCTAAGAGTTTTTCCTCTTGCTAAATACCTTTGTAACCAAATGTGGTAGCCTGTGTCATCAATAAAATAATCTGAGGAGAGGAACCTTTTAATATATTTCTGCTATAATCCAATAAAGTAGTTAGAGAAAGAGAAATCAGTGTTTTTGGAATTGCTCCATTTAAATGCTGTTAGTCAATTCCAGGTTCTCCTCAGTAGCTTAAATATAGGAAATGGTTGCTTTAGAATGTGTGGGAAAATGTCATTAGGGAACAATGTGAACATAATGTGGTTTTGGGCTGGGCTGAGTGGGCATTTTTTGTGTGTGTTGCGTATTTTAGTTTCTTTAAGTTGGGCTACTTTAATTTATTACCTTCTCTTCCGAGTGTGGAAACTGAAGGAGAGACCTTTGTGTAAATTAGCTCTCTAAGTCAGTTTTGTAGTCTAAGATACCTAAGATACTTTTGTAGCCATTGTACAAAGGTAGATACTCAGAAAGTGTGCAGTTCCTTTCAACCGTCCAGATGTCTAAGCCTTACAAAACTATGGTTATCCTAAACAACATGTCCATCAGGACATCAATCAGAATTTCACTTAAAATCTTGATTTCTGGTCCTGCTCATTCTAAGAGCATGAAAAGATTGTGCTCGTTTTCTGTTTCTCTTACTGTCTGATGTAAAACAAAACCAATTTCAGTCATCTGACTTTATTTTTTCTATCGCTGTAGTTTCTGCATATCTGTTTTGATCTTATAAATAAATATTTCTGCAAACCTTGTCCTAAAAAAAAAACCCACTCTGAAAATACTTGGTTGCTTTGGAAAATCTTATGCAAAGTGCCTTTCTCAAATGGTCATTTTTTATGTTGATATGGAAGGTCTTGAAAACAACTTTTTTGTTTTGTTTTTAAATTTCAGGATATGAAATACAGGGAGGACTTAAGGCATCTGTATGTTTGTAGTGTTGATCCTCCTGGTTGTACAGATATTGATGATGCATTACATTGTAGAGAAGTAGAAAACGGAAATATAGAGGTATTGTCTCTTTTTTTTTTTTTTTTAATCAGGGCAGTTATTTATTTACTTCTTCCTTTATTTTATAACAGTGCAGTAATGATAATGACATGAGCAAAGCTCCAGATCTGTTGTAAAAGAAATTAATGGCGTTTGCACAAACTGCAAGATCATAATAAAGAAAGAGTTGATTTGCATTACATCAGTGTCAGAAGTGGGAATTTAATGTCTTCTAAATTCACTCTGCTTTCTGCTCTTTTGGCATGGGAAATTAACATAGAATTTATTGCTTTAGCTAAGTATAAACATGGATATCTACAGCTCGGGTAAGGAACTGTCAGTAGAAAAAGTGAAGCTATTGCTGCAATGCCTAAGGAATTATTATTTTTTTTTTTTAAAAAAAAAGGGCATAAAAAAGCTACAGGCTTAACACCAGATCTCTACCCACTTATATCTGGTTTAGTCAGGTTTTCTTTTTTATAAATTAATTTGTAATTGTAATAGCAGGGTGCACCAAAATGGAAGGTCTAGCAATCAGATTTGCAGTGAGCCTTGAAGAAAACAAAAGGGGTTATTTGAGCCCCCAGGCAAGAAGAATTTCATTGGTAATGAATATAATTTTCCACTAAATGTACACATGCCCTTATTTTGTATAATTGCAGCAACTATTCATTTTTTTAATATTGGTATGATAGGTTTTAATTATTCCTATTACTAAACATAGGAGCTGCTGAAGGGAACTGGGAATGGGTAAATTGGATTATAAATAAAAGCTTGAGAAAGTTTCTTTCATGTTGAGAACTATGTTTTGTAAGTGCATAATGTGATGCTTTTTTTTAGGTTGGTGTACATATTGCAGATGTCAGTCATTTTATTCGTCCAGGAAATGCTTTGGATGAAGAGTCAGTAAGAAGAGGAACAACAGTATATCTGTGTGAAAAAGTAATTGTTTTCTATAGCTTTTTGTACAATTAAGCAGTTGGATTTTCATTGCTTTCCTCTTTTAATTCTTTAGAGTAGAGACATTGTCTCTAAACAAAGGGGGGGGGAAAGATTCCTTCAGGCTGCACTTAATTTGCCTAAGACTATCAAAATGAAGGTGTTTTCTGTCATTCAGCCCAGCAAGAGGGAGAATTATTATTTTTTCTTTTTTAAATCCATTATCTGCAGAATATACCTTTCAACTCCTGTTTGAAGCATTAAAATAGTTACAAAACTGGAGTGCTGTTTTAATACTGATCTGAAACTGCAGAAGTGGCCTGTTTGTCTTCTCCATTGCTTTTACTTGTGATAGCTAAATCTCTTGTTTTCTGTTATTTGTATTCATTACAACTGTACTAACTGTCCTGTTTATTTTAACATTTCTTACAGACCACAATTTCTTTTCAGAACTAACTGTTAATAAAAATCTGATAATTAAAATGGATCTTGGAATGAAGCTACACTGTAGTAGCTTTCAGAAACCTGAGCTTTCTTAGCAAAAAAAATAGATACTATTTCCAAGCTTAATTTAGTATACTAAAAATTGGGAAATTAAAATACATACTTATAGCTAGTCATTATTTTTATTCTCTATTTTGCAGAGGATTGATATGGTTCCAGAGTTACTTAGTTCCAATTTATGCTCCCTGAGATCTAATGTGGACAGGTATATGTATATGATACATACTTTGATCCTGACAAGGAACTCCAGATGTTTATATGTGGACTTTAACAGATTTCCTCCCCTTCTCTCTCTTAGACTTGCATTTTCGTGTATATGGGAGATGAATCATAAGGCTGAAATTCTGAAAACCAGATTTACAAAGAGTATTATTAATTCCAAGGTTAGTCACATACATATTATTACTCTTCTGGAAAAAAGCTGGAGACCTTTTTATAAAACCAATGATCAACAGACTTGATAATGAAGTTTTCTTCTTTCTGTTTATTGTTTTGTATTTTCTTAGAATTAGAAAATAATGCTTAAATCCTAAAAATAAAGGCATGTTTGATTCTGCTCTGTTAATTTAAACCTCTGAGGATGCAATGGTTTTTGTCCAGTTACTTTGTGCTATTTAATTTAAAAAGTATAAATGTATTGAGATACTGCATATGGTTGGTATATACCAATTAATCATAATTTTCAGTTAAATTCAGTGGACTCTGTAGGTGTTCAATATATTTTATTAGACCTCTAATGTATAAAATACAATTATGTGCAGCATAAAAAAAAACCACTTTTAAGTGCCTGATATTTCTTAACATCTTGCATACATCTGTCCTGGTTTGTCCATTAGTCTTTGAGAATGACAGAATGAGAATTTAGGTGTTGAATGTAAAGTTTTCCACTACTGTGAGCCAATTTTGACAGCAAACTGCAGTTTCTGCAAGATAAAACTGTGTTTTTCTTTTCAGTATTCAATTATGTATCACCATGTCTTTTTTTTTTTTTTAACCTCTTCAAGGCTTCTCTTACATATGCTGAAGCACAGATGAGAATTGATTCAGCAACTATGAATGATGAGATCACTACCAGCCTACGTGGACTAAATAAATTAGCAAAAATTCTGAGGAAGAGAAGAATTGATAATGGGTAAACCGTGTGATGTCCCTGTTTTTTTTCCTGGCTATTTTTTGCTGTCAAACTGTATAATGGTCCTCTCTGTCCATTTTTCCAGTGGAAATCTTTTGGAAGAGAAGTATTTTGGCATTTTGATTTGCATAAAATGCCTATCTTCATTTCCCTGAAAATATAAACTGAGGATGTTAAATTTTCCTTTACAAGATCAATCTATATGGATCTCTTATTATAAAAACACAACCAAAAGAGTAGCATTTGAAAACTTAGGAGCTACTCTTGATGTGTCAGCATCATAATTTCTGCTAATTTGAACATAAATTCCACAATTTAATTTTTAATTTCTACTAATTTTTAAATTTCTGCTAATTCTAAATTACAGTTTCATGATAAACCCAGATGTTGTGTACGGGCTTGGAACTCAGCTGCTGTGTCTGCTTTACTGTAATTTAACATCTCTTTCTGTCTTCCAGAGCCTTAACGCTTTCCTCACCAGAAGTTCGTTTCCACATGGACAGTGAAACTCATGATCCTATTGATCTGCAGACTAAGGAGCTCAAGTATGTGCTTTATTTCCCTCAAATAGTTAATTTGGGGCAGGGATAGCATTAAAGACATGTTTAAGTAGCAACATTTAGTTAATAGTATACAAAATTCTTATAATAGTGCAGGCCAATCACAGACTTACAGAACAATGTGAGTTGGAAGGGACTTTTAAAGATCATCTAGTCCAAAGCCTCCTTCCATGGTCACGAACACTTTTCACTAGATCAGGTTGCTCAAAGCCTCGTCCAGCCTGGCCTTGGACGCTTCCAATGATAGGGCATCCACCACGTCTCTGGGCAAGCTGATCCTAGAAAACAGAACTCCCCTGTATTCTACTACACTATTTATGAAGCAAGTTTTGAACTGTATGCTTCATATGTTAATTTAAGTCTTTACTACCATTTCAAAGGATCACTAAGGTCCAAACTCTACATCCCACTGGCTTCTCTGATACTCTTCTTCTACTGGTATTAACAAAGGAGAGAAAGTAGAGTTTAGAGCTACAGATTACTGAAACCTTAACATGTGCAAAGTAATACATATAATCTTACTGAGTTCTAGAAATGCAGCTACTGATTCAGTTTTTGAAGATAAAATACTTTCATACTACTTAGCGTAGATTTTAGCACAGAAACTTCAGTATGTATACAGTCATGACATCATGTTATGGTGCACAACATGTTGCTTTCAAACAATATGCACAATATTTGAACAGTACTCTTAGTAAGAATCAAGAGGCTTATCTGTTGGTCTTTTGGAGCATTTTTCTTAATTTGTTATTCTAGAATATTTTAGGTTTTTTTCTTCTAACTCAATATTTTAAATATTATGGGTTTAGTCTTAAAAAGGTTGGCCTCGTTGTCTAAGTGTTCAAAACCAGTAGATAACGTTATATAATATTGTTACGATTGTGGAATGTTTTTTCATTAGACACTCAAAGTAAATATATAGTTTAATGCTTTTCTAACAATATAAAATATTTTATGTTGATAGAGAAACAAATTCCATGGTTGAAGAGTTCATGTTGCTTGCCAATGTCTCTGTAGCACAAAAAATTTATGAAGAGTTCCCAGAGTTTGCCTTGCTCCGGAAACACCCTGCTCCTCCCCCATCAAATTATGACATCCTAGTGAAGGCTGCAAAGTCCAAGGCAAGTTTTTACCATGCTAGTTAAGTTAATTAACTGTAAAAAAAAAAAAAAAAAAGGGTTTAAAAAAAAAAAAAAAAAGTGTTTTCTCTTGGGCCATTTACCCAAGAAAAAGGGTTGGAAAGCAGTATTTTGAAAGTGTATCAGCTACACTTTGAAACTGTTGGTACTTCTAGCAAGATAACTGTACCTCTAGATGAAAGGAAGAAATCTTGTGCTTTTAAAACACTTTCTTAGGTAAAGAAAGCAAATCAGTCTTTAAGAGTTTAGTATTGTTAACTCTTGTGTCCGAGGGTGGGGGAGGGACAATGGCAACGTGTTCTCCAGTCCCAGCAGGGCTTAAAACCATCACAATAGACAAACGTTCATTTAATCAACCGAAGTGGCTTTTCACTACTCTGACACAGCCATCACAATTAGGTATTAATATGCTATATTTTTGTAACACTTTTTAAAATACACAATTATTTTACCATAATACATATCTCTAGATCATATTTTGTTGTCAGTGGTGTACATGAAGAAAATAACATTCAACTGATCATGTGATGAAACTTATTTTGTGTGACTGGAAATTAAAAATGCATGATGTATTTTCACATATTATCAGGGAATGTCATACAGTACTAGTTTTACAAATCACTTTGCCAAGTATTAAGTTTTAATAAAGTTTTAATAAATTTGTAGAGGAAGTAAAATGTCAGGTACTGCTTATGTTGTGCTTGGATGAGAATCTTTGTGTGGCATACTTTTTTTTTTTTCCATACCTCTTCTGATTGATTTTTCCACCCTTTGCATAAAAGGAAATAAACAACTTGTTAGCATAAAATGTTTCTTAGTTCTGAATGGATGTCTTTTTTGAATTCCTAGGCTACTGACTTGGCTTTTCATTTTTTGCATAGAGCACTAGTAATAATGAGGGACCTGTGCATGGGTGGATTTTTTGTTTTGTAACAGTGGCATTCTGTTAGGTTATTAGGTGTGACATCTGTTCCAGTTGCTAAGATTAGCTGTTAAATTTCTTACACTCTGTTAATATTTGCTAGTAATACCTGACTTTTTATTTCTTTCTTCCCTCCTGTCAGAATTTGGAAATTAAGACAGATTCAGCAAAGGCTTTAGCTGAATCATTAGACAAAGCCGGCTCTTCTACGTTCCCCTATCTAAATACACTGTTGCGAATTTTGGCCACTCGCTGCATGATGCAAGCTGTCTATTTCTGCTCTGGAATGGATAATGATTTTCATCACTATGGTTTAGCATCACCTATTTATACCCACTTTACCTCACCTATTAGAAGGTACCTTTATTTTATGAAAGTTTCAGATAACAACAATATGTGATTTATTTGTGAAGAAATTCCATTTTAAATTGTGGTGTTGTCCATTTAAAACAAAATACTGTTTCTGCTCAGATTTAGATTTCAATTGAAACAGCAGTGGCTTTAGATGGTGATCTGTCTTCATGTAAGCTCCCAGGTTAATTCTCTATGACTCCTAAGGTCTAATAAAATGTTTTAAAATGACTGATAAAATTAAGAGAAATACATCTCTAATGCGTATCTCTGGCATAGAAATGTACTTTGGGATCAGTTAGCATTATAGAAGTCAACCAGAGACTGAGGTAGTTCAACCAGTCATTTTTCAGGTGGAAGCTGTGTTTTAAAAAGTTTTGAGGATATAAAAACATTGCTAAATTTGAAACTTGCTACTGTAGCTCTTGCACTGTAATGAAATTGTAACTCTTAGAAAATGAGGGGGCGTTTTTCTTTTAACCAAAATATAAATTTTGAGGAAAATAATTCATCATATTTTGTTCCTTAGAAACATTTCAAGTGAAATATCTCACAGGTGTATTAAAATTCCTCTGCATTTGTGTGGATAACTTGTGGAGCTTCTAGGAGTCCCAGTAGTAAATTTTAGTTTGCTAACAGATGTGTGACAAAGTTCCTGGCTGAAATTCTAATAAAAGTTGTGTAACAATAAGTTCAAGTGCGATGATGCTTTGCAGATCAATGGCACTGAAATACCATTCCATGCTAAATTTGTCTAGTTCATCAGAAGGAGAAGAGGGAGTGGCTTAAGCTGCCATGGCAAAATATCATTCTTCAATACAAAAATAAAATTTAGTTTCTTCTTTGTAAACATTCAACAATACAGGGTCTCTTGGTAGAATTTAGTAAAGAATTTATCTTAGAAAATAGCATAATACATTCTGCAGAGCCAGAACTAATTTTTGATCAGCAAAGAGCGATTCTGAATTCATACAGTGAGTTATCAGTAGACCATCATTATTAAAAAATCTTTTTGATCTATAAGATTCATAAAAACCAAATTATATTTAGAATTTAATTTTTTTAAGTATGTTTTGATATGTCATAAAATCTTATCTTTTCAGGTATGCTGACATTATAGTACATCGACTTTTGGCAGTGGCCATCGGAGCAGACAGTACTTACCCAGAACTTACAGATAAACATAAACTAGCAGATATGTGTAAAAATCTCAATTACCGACATAAAATGGCTCAGTACGCACAAAGAGCATCTGTTGCATTCCATACACAGGTAAGTAGTTTTGAAATGTGAGGATTAACTATGGACAATTCATGTTGATTTTGAAGGAAGGGAGGGAACATTGAGTTTTGCTTTGTAGAGCAAAACCAAGCAAGTCTGCAGGAATGATTAAGTATAAAGGCTGCTCCTATGAGGAAAGGCGTCAGCATTGCATAGCTGGTTCTGCCATAGAATAATGGCATTTTGAGGATTCTTTTTACTACTTTTTTATAAATGCGGTGAATGCTTAATAGTATAGTAATGTTATAAACCGTTCATGGGATTTTTTTAATCTTCTTTTGTTACATAGTGTGTAATTATAACTAAGCATAGATTTGTATTTAAATGTTTTTATTTTTTTAAGTCAGTATACTTCAATCCAAAAGAGAACATACTTGTGCCTTTTTTTTTTTCTTATCCATGTATTTTACTTTTGTTACAGCTGTTCTTCAAAAACAAAGGAGTAGTCAATGAAGATGCATATATATTATTTGTAAGAAAAAATGCAGTTGTGGTTCTAATTCCCAAGTATGGGTTAGAAGGAACAGTCTTCTTCGAAGAAAAAGGTAAACCAACACCAAGACTGGATTACAACAATGAGGTATGTTTTATAAGGTTTGTTTTTAAATGCCTTTATTTTTTGATTTGGTAATTGAGCAGAATGACTGTAATCTATTGTAGTTGGATCTAGAAGGGTAGGAGAGGCTTTTCTAAATGCAAGTTTATTAATCTGTAGTATACTGTGGGTTTTTTAAGTCCAAATAAACAGGTTCTGACAGAAATTGGTTTCTGTAATAGATACTACTACTATCTAATTATCAGAGTAAATACCACAAAAATGTATATACCACATTCTGAACACTAGGGACAGTAATTTGTGTTCGTTTTTACTGACACATTAATAATTTCCTACAAAAATATTTTTATAAAAACATTGTAAGCAGTGAGTTTTTATACAAAATACAGTGAGTATTTATACAAAATTTGAACTTTCAGGTACCATCACTTACTGTGGAAGACACAACATTACATGTATTTGATAAAGTTAAAGTGAACATTATGTTAGATGCTTCCAACATCCAACATCAGAAAATTCGGATGGTATTGGTAGAACCAAAGGTAAGCTACAAGGTTTGTGATTCATAGAATCATATTATCCTTCAGTAATCTTAAAAAAAAATCAGCATATGGTAAAATTGAAATTTAAGGCAGAAGAAAAAAATTATTTAGCAGCAGATGGTAGTGATTGCTCCATATCTGCTCTCAATAAAACACAGGTCTGCTTTCACTGGCTGTTGAAAAGAACAAGAGGGTTCTAAATTAAATTTTCCTTCTGGGCCCATCAGGGATATTTCCACTGATGGGAAAGGTGATGATTTGCTGAAGTAATATCTTTTGAATTTCACGGTTCTGTAATCAAATCTCCCCTTTGAAAATCTGCCAAAACTCGGTAGGATCTTCTTTTTGCTCCAGTAAATTGCAGTCTAACTGTGATGGGTAGCTCAGAAGGAAACTCTGTATAATTGCTGGCTGTAAATGGCAGTCCTTTCTTACAACTTCCACAATATAAAAATTCTCTCTGGATAATGTTGTAAGAACTGTAATGTCCTAATAACTGTTTCTCTGGTCTTAAGACTTCAATTCTACCTGCTTAGTGCATCTGGGACACTGGGATTTTCATGTGGTCTCACACATCAGGCCTGCTGAGTATTTTGCATGCTGTTACAAGGTTGTGTACTTTCATTAAGTTACATTTGACTTTTGTGGTAAACAGATGATTGCAGTAATTCAGTATCCATAATTATGGAGGAAAAAGAAAACCCAAAATAAGCAGTAGTTCCTTGTTTATACAGTCATTGTTATTTCTTTTTTTCTGAGAAACCATCTGTTTCCAAACACATGTAACCGTTCTGATCTTTGAGCTGTTCTGCAAACTTGAGTTGAAGGCAATCCTCATGATTTTAAAAAAGGGGATAATAAAATTTGTCGTAGAAAGTACCCTTGCATCCTGCTGTGCATTCACATGCTGAGCTGCCCACTGCTTGCGCTCACCAGCTAGTGTTTGTCAGAGCTGCTGTCGTGGGTATAACTCAGGGACACTCCTGCTGCAATGACACCAGTCCCCAACAGACATGCTTTGTTCATTGAAAATAGTCACAAAGTAAGGCTAATACAAGCTGATCTTTTTTCTTCTTCTTTTCCCTTCCCCTTCCCTTCTTGTACTTAAATTTCTGTGAAGGTCCTTGTTCTGCAGTGAAGCCAATACTATAATTTTATCTTATCCCTTGGTACAGGAACAGCCATACTGGTTAATCAGAAATACTTTGTCATCCTAAACATGTTACTAGTTAGTCCTCCATCCTGGTAAGGAATTAGTATATAGGAGTAAGATGCACATACAGTGATCATTCCCTTTGTGTCCATTCCAAGCTTCCAGCAATTTACAGCTTAAATAGTGTCTCACCCAGGGGTACATATCTTTGTGTTCAGTAGATAGAGTTTTGTTCTGTGAATTTGTTTAATCACTTTTCCCAGCTTACACTTTTGACTCCCATAGTATCTTCTACCAGTGAGCTCCACTGCTCACCATAAAAAAAGTACTTAACCTTTCATTTGTTTGAAGCATGATGCCTAGTACTATTACTTGATGACATACTACATTTCCTACACTGTGAAAAATAGTCTTTTATTCCTGTTCACCATTCCCATGCCACTCAACTCCATATACTTCTGTTATCCACTATGTTGGTTCTTGCTTTTCTGGAAACTATTTCATGTCTTTGATCTTCCTCATCACGTTTATGTTTTTGTAGTTCTGTTGTATGATTTCTTTGAGCTGGAACAGAAGCACATGCATGACTCAGAATGTGAGTGTGCCATAGATTCATACCAGATCACACACACATAAAGATACATACCAGATTTTCTGTGTTGTGTTGTGTTCTGTGGGAACACTTCGCGTCATCTTTCTTTCCTTCTAGTATCAAGACTGGTTTTAAGCAGTGAGTTTATACACACCAACAGTTGCTAGCTGACGGTTTTACAGTTGCTTTTAGAACAGAACAGTGTTGTTCTTACCAGTTTGTTCTAAACTTTTTTTTCATTATTATCATTCATAGCAGTTTTCTTGATGTTGGTCTTAATTTTCTTGAGTGCTTCAAATATACTCTGATTACCTGTTTTTCATGCCTGCTTTAGGCTTTTACTGTTGTCAAGCCATTCATTGATGGAGAGGTAAGGAAGAATTCCCTGCTTCTCACTTTGAGAATTTTTATTGTTGTTCTTCAGCCTTTTGGGCTTGTCTGTTTATCTTAATTCTGCACTTATTTCTTCATTTGGACAAGGTTTTCACTTAAAGGATGTCTGTTGACTTGTAATACTGACTTTTTTAAACTGTTCTCTTGAAATTCTATTGATAAATGGCATACTCTTACTCCCAAGTCTTTTTAAACTCCTATCTTGCTCCTGAAAGCATTTTACCTTTTTGCAATGCCCTTTATAAAATCTTTGTTAAATTCCTTATTGTCTATGTAATGCATTTTAAGGTTTGGTGTGTTTTTTAATTCTGCCATGGTGCTGCATTTTGAGTGAGTATGCTAAATCAGTACTACAGGGATGGTTCTGTGGGTAACCTCTTGAGCAGGGTTCTCAGGCAAGAGTTGCTTCTCTCTTTTTAGAGAACCCCATGCCTACTTGCTCCAAGAAACTGGCACCTAGAAACCTCTCTGTCTTGAGCCTTCTTGTGACATTTACTCATCGAAGATAATTTATTGTTAATGTGTTACCTGTTCTCACAGCCTCTCCGCTACTCCTTTACTATGTCATCATCATTGCCATCCTAATTAGCTGACCAAAACCACAGCCTTCCACTTAACAGCAGTGGGTTTAATTACAGCATACCTGCCTGTGTTACTCTAATACAGCTAAATGACTCTTCTATTGGTGTATGCTGTTGTTGCTTTCACATAATTCATAACCTGGTCTGAAAGGCCTTGTGATCAGCTTCCTTGCCATCAAGCTTCCACAGTGCCTGTTACTTTCCATAATGAGCCATTACCAGTTGCAATAGAGTTCAACTGTAGAGGAGTATTCATAGGTCTGATCTTGGTCCAGTTGTCCTATGAACCCTACTCAAATGAGCTGTATTTCATTGTAGCCTGCTTCACTCTTCTCTGCTTGAATGCTACTCATTTCCATATTCCCAAAGTGGAGCATATATCTTGATGACCTTTCCTTTGGGACAAGTCATTCTCTGTAAGCATACAGGCTTTTCTCCATTCTTCTTGTTCCTTGCTTTAGAAGTCTGTTTTCCACTTATTTCAAAAGTTTTTACAGTTTCTAACAAAGCTCAATGCATTTTGCTATGCCATGTCCCCCCTGACAGAGCCTCTGCTTGACAGGAGCAGCACTTCAGCAAACACTGCAGTGGTGATTGTTCCAAAACCAAACTGAAAATCATTAGGTTAAGACCTCTTTTCACCTCTCATTTATACTCTGTGCCTTCCTATTTGCTTCAGCATGGCAGACAGCTGAAAGGCAGCATAGACTGTTGCAAAAAACCTACTGGCAAGTTTGAAGGGCTTTTGCTTGGATTACCCTTAGCTTTTACTTGAGCATTCAAGTGTGATTGTTACATGATGGACACTGTTAGATGACTAACAATTTTCTATAGTGTTTGTAAAAGGTCCATACAAGTAAACAGAAGTTTTATCAGGATAGTATAAGCTAAAATTAAACATTCTGACTCCTAATAATTTTCTTACTGTAGCTACTGGAAAATGATGTGCCTGCAAACCTGTCTACAGCGATAAGCAGCAAGAACGAACCACAGAAGAAGAAAAAGAAGCTGTGAAAATAGCTGAATAATAGGAAGTCACACATGAATTATTTGTGTTTAGGTATTTTTTCCCTAGGGGCAAAATGCTAGAAACAGTGTTTTTACTTTTAAATACACATTTTAATAATTTGTAAAACAGGCTTTTTTAAAAATAAATTTATATGTATGCAGGAGAAAAGAGTTTTAAAATAAAGTATCTCTACAGTTTCATCTTGTGGGTGAAAATAGTTTGTTGGGGTTTTTTTGAATAGCTTTAAGTCTATGCAAGAGCTTGGCAAAAGTCAGTCCTTTCAGTACTGCAGAACTGAACGAAGTAGTTGTGCTAGTTAGGGGTCTTATGTGCTAACAATTTACTCTTGAAACCTAAATTCCACAGACTGAAACTTTCTTCTGGGAAAACTTTCTTTCAGACCAGATTCCCTGTGTATATATGCACACATTATAGAGGTGGAGAGAGAAACCATACCACAGAAGTGCATTTGTCTTGGCCCTTTAGGCAATTTAAAATCATTGCTTAGCCTCTGATCAACTGCCTTAAAAGTGAATGGAAACCATCAGTTTTATTTGTATTAATTACACACATAAAAATTTACAAGTAGCAAGAAGTTTTGCAGTGATCATTCCAGCTTGTAGTGCCAGGATGCTGCTGAGTTGGAATTCTCAAAAAAGCCTCAAGTGTTTTGTCTCTTGAACTGCATTGTTACAGTCAAGCTCCATCACCTGACTGTTGCCATAAAACATATTTTAAGTGCTGTCAGGACTGAAGTAATTTTAAGTGTGCTCCTAGACTCAGTGCTGAACTCCCACCACAGGGACTTGGAGGTGGTTGCTACTCAATTCTGTCAAGTTCACTTCAGTAAAACTATCCTCTCAAGTGCTGGGACTTAGAGTAGTTTCTAGAGACCAGTTCCATTGGTGCCAATTTCTAGCTCTTGAAGCCAAGAAACTGCAATCCCACATACTAGAGGTGTGTCTCCGATCCTTCTTTGAAGTTACAGCTCACAAAATTCTACACTAGTCACTTCTCAGTGGTTTCCTTAGGTAATCAGTGGGTCGCAGTTGATCAACACATGGTTGTCACTTGGTCATACTGACTCAGGTCCCTGTCTGCTGTTAATGTAAAGGATTTGATCAGATTTATAAAGTACATACAATAAAAAGCAAAGGGAGACATGTTTAACCAACTGTAATAGAAAACTCCACCCCATACATTTGAATCCTGTCATCACTATTCTAAAAGGCTTTGGAAACTTTAACAATACAATTTTGTTTCAGTAAAAGTGTTCAGAGCACAAACTATTCTCTAATAGAGAATTCTAGCACTTCTAATTCAGCACTAGATTATAGTAACCGAACCCATTTTTTTTTTCACTATATCGGAGAGAACAAAAGCCTGCCACAATCTTTACCTGCTCTCCTTCCCTGTTCCCCACGGCCCCCCACCTAAACAACAGACATAAACCTGCCTCTGGCAGCACTCCCATGAAAGATGCTACAAACTAGCAAAAAAAATTTCAAACATTTTAGGTATGAAAATTTTTTTATTCTGTTTCACTACTTAGTTTACAGCAATACATGTTAAAAAGACTCATTAAAGCTACCTAAATTAATGTAAACAATGACCATTTTGTGCAATGTGTGCCAACCAATGCAAGTACAGCCAGAGAAGCAGAATGGTCAAATGATTTCCACAATAATTTGCACAGTATGTTTCTTCTACAAAACAATTTCACAAACAAAAATAGGCATTTTGTCATAAAATAAATAATTGAAGACTATAAAACAGACAGAAAATACAGGCAATCCATCTGGGGTGATCCTTAATTCTCACATTCACTCATTCTGCTGTTACTTTTCCCTTACATTTAAGGAAATACTTATACAGGGTGCAATTAAATATTTTAGTGATTGTTTTTTATTTGAAAATACTATGAAAGTCTCTGGTCACTGAACCTATCATGAAGAATAAAAAAATTTTATTAACACCACCCCCCCTCCATCTTAATTATACATATCATGTCAAACAGTTCAGAAACAGATCCTAATTTGGACCACCCTGCTTCTCATTCACCTTTACATTAACATTACTACTATTTTAGTAATCACACATACAAAAATAAATCCTTTGTATAAATCAGAAATCTGAAATTCACTTTCAATTGATTATTGTTAAAGAGAATTATCATGAGAAACAGAACAACGCAAGATCGTAACTTTTAAGTCTCAAACAAATTGTTTTGCTTTTGAGCTACAAACCTTAACAAGCTAAAGCTAAGAACATTTTGAATACCATATTCCATAAACTCATTTTCCAGAAATCTGTTCATTCTCTACTTTAGCAAAATTCATCCCTAAAGTTAACAATTCAGTGTATTTCCAGCTTTTAATAGGGCGCTGTTCCAAGATCAGGAAGTAGGTAATTGAGGATGTTACATTCAATTACTGTCAATCCAAAGTGTTACAGAAATATTGATTAAATTGTTATGGAAGTAAAAATCATTCATGTTGTCACCTTTGCTGGTTAGAAATCTGAAGTAATTTTAAAAAATTATTTCTGCAATGTGAAAACTAAAACAAAATTATGCTTTATTGATGGTATAGAAGTTTCCCTTTTTAAGTATATTTTTCAGAAAGCCTTCACTGGTGAATTATTAATGAAAATATTTCAAGAACTGTTCTATCCATACAAGGCTTGCACACAAGTCTCAGGTCTAGCACATTGCTTTTTAAAGCCATGCCATTCTGTTCATACCAAACCCTTCTGAGACTTTAAAAACATTGTCCATTGCCTTCAAATTTAGGTCTGACCAACCATTTCAGGCTTAGTGTAACAATAGCTACTCATCAGCCACAGTTTATCACTTTGGTATGAGCTTTTCTGTGGGCTGTAGAATAGAATAAGAAGCAGAACTTGCATTCCATATCCTACCACTGGATATCCTATACGGATATGGACTTTTCTTTTTGATGAATCCAACAAAGCTTACTTTAGAGCTCTACAAACACAGTGCCCTGAAATGTCAGTATTTCCCTAATCTCTTCTTCCCTCTTAGTCACTAGGCTAGAAAAATTACTGGATTTTTTTTCCTCCCATTTACATTTATAAATTCCATAAGGTTCAAATTTAACCACATCTGATTTGATTAGGCAAAGGGAATTCTAGGCTTACAGACCTTCCCCGTTCCATTACTTTTGTTCATTGATGGTTTTCTTGAAAACATCAGAAGTTTTGTTTATATTAATACTTTTGCAATAAGTGGCATGCAAAAGTTAATTTCTAAATGTTTATCTAAGTATTTTGGTAATTTCTGTAAGACACATAGTACTGGGAATTAAGCTAAAATCAAAATAAAATGTAATGGTTTACTGTAGTAGAAGGCAGGCTGCACCATTCTCATAATCACGTACTGAAACTAATTAACCTTATTGCACCTTCTTATGTTTCTTTGAAAGTGCACTCGAGCATCAGTTTGGACACAAATGTTCTCAGGAGACACTGGTGGAGTCAGGTGATCAAGATAAGTACTAATAAAACTACTGAAGTAAACACTGGAATTTAATTTTAAAGTAACCAATAGTACATTTTACTTAAGTACATGGTAAAACTAATTGATGGATATGCAGTTTTCAGTCAAATCAAGGAAAAAACTTTACCAAAAAATAGCTAAAAGGCTTATTTTGACATAAAGCTTGTTTTATTATGACAATGAGACTTTTTGAAGATATGGAAAAAGTATGTAATTTCTGTAACTAGATTTTCATGCAGCTGTTAATTAAGTTTCCCTTGTGAAAAGGACTAGCCTGGTACTAAAATCAAAGTAGCCATTTTTACCAGTTTGCAGTCCACTGTAAAACATACACATATTCCAGGAACACATTTCTGGAACACTAGTTTTATCCTTTCCTCATGAAAGTCACAGCTGAGTTTTACCAGCTTACTCAGTTACTAGCTGTTACCAGCTTACTAAAGTAACTGAGTGTTACTTTAGTCTGATACTGACACTCACCCCTCTCCTGTTACTCCAGCCCTGCTCTGATCAGCCCCCCAGCAATGCATTTCTGTCCAGTCTCTTTCTTGGTGCCAGTATTCCTGAAGTCACACAATAAATCTGATCAGGGAAAAGCCATTCTAATCAAAACTAATACTCCTTTCCTTTTTCTGTCCCCCAAAGAAAAGTTTCCCTCGTGGCTTTAGGAGTTGTCTTAAAAATGTAGGTGTTTTTGGAGTTACATTGGCTCCTATGTAAGTTACCCTAGGTTTGCTCAGTCTAACTGAAATACTTCTCTTGAAGCTGAAGTTATGTCCAAACTTTCAAAACAAGGCTCTCACAGAATCTACCCTAATCACAGAAGAAACACAGTTTTGAAAAAACAGTATGGTTTCTTTGTACCAAGTCTAGCTGCCTTAATTTTTAAAAGGATCACTTAAGATACCAATAAATTTCTGAGTAAGACCTGAAAAAACCCACATTATTAAAAATCTCCCCTATTATATACCAATTTATTACATTTGCATTAAAAAGGCAAAATAGTATTGTATAATCCAGGTAATTGAGGTCATATATATAAAAATTTATTACACAACAAAATTTAAGTTCCCTGTAAGAAAACTACATACCATTTTTGTGAAATCCCTGAACTTGATTTTCATTTTTATGTTTCCAGGCAGAAACGTTGCAAGTTGCATTTTGACCAAATATTGCAGTATGTGTTTTTGCTTTTTGGAAACAGGATTGCTTCTCTGGAGATTTTGCTCTCAGCAACTGATTGTCCTTATGGTTTAAAACAGAACACTCCTAGGTTAATAAGGAAAAGTTAATTTTAAAACCATTTTCACAAAAATTCCCCAAAGAAACAAGATTGAAACCTACTGTCTGAAAACTTCAAGTTACAATTAGTACCTTTGCCTCCCATCTCTCCCCTTCTGAAATTAAAAAAAATGAAAGTGATGTTTTCTCTGCACAAATCTTTGCACCATGCTGTCAGCAAGAACCTCCTTTCAGAGCACAAACGCTCAGAATGAGCCAGACTGCATTCTTTCAGCCAACAATATCCATGCTTTTTTCTTTTCAGAAAGTTGAATGGGTTCTCTGTTGTGAGAGCTGAATGAAGTATTGAATGCCTCCACACTTAAATCCTAATCCAAAATACATAATTGGGCTTAGTCAGGGTCTAGCAACTGTAAGACTAGCAGTGGGAGAAGACAGCTGCATGATACTGATGAGTCTCTAGGACAGGCTGGATATTAAACATTTGATCCTGATGAGTACATTCACATGCATAATCCATGCCCAACAAGGTGACTGAGGCAAGACATCAGAGGAGATGGGTGTTTTTAGAAGATAAAACATCCATCTATTCTTCCTGTGAGGGCACAATTATCCTAATCTAAAATGAGAAGAGTTAAAAATTTGATGTCAATGGTCTATAAGACACCATCAATCTGGTATTTTACCTTGGACCAGAGGTGGCCATTAGCATATCAGATGCAGAAGTGAAGTCAGGGCTGAATGGGCTTTTTTTAATCATCTGGTACTACTGGTCATTACTGTCTCCCCTTCAAGGACTGTAAATAGTAATATTAGACCATGAACTACAAAATTTATAAAACCATAATTACTAAGTGAGAGGAGATGATCTTTGCTCTCTTCTCCCAAGAAACTAATTCGCCTTGCTTCTCATTCTCTGGAAGAAGCAGAACTCCCTCCCATCAGTCACAAGATTAAGAACTTGGAAGTCTTGCTAGATAAGTATTGTCTTTTGTCATTTGTTTCACTTTTAAGATAGGTCAAAGGGTTTGTAATCAAAAGATCGTACCCAAGCAAAAAGTTCCCCACCAAGTCAGCATGCCAGGTATGGTCTAGGAAACCTAAGGCTAGTTTATGAAAAGTAGTAGCAAAAAAATTTCCCCAAAAAATGTACTTCTCTACAGGCACACATTTAAAAACTTAGGAATAAAAAAAAGCGGCAAGAACAGAAATAAGAGACAGGCTACATCAGAAACCATGAGCAGCCTCACAACTGTCCTTCATTCATATATCTGTTTCCTCTGAAACTACCTCTGCCTTTTGTCACAGAACACAACAATTTTATTGTCAGCTTATAATATTTGTCCTCTATATTTCTTGTCTTCAACATGATATTTGAAGTGATACTACATTAACACACTCTGTTATCATCTGTCAGTCTCTCCCCTTGGGCTCCTTGAAACTGAATAAAATAGGGAATGGATGCTTTAGATGGGAAGCCTATCACTTTTGTATCACAATTTAACTCCTACCTTTGTTCTAAGCAGCTGAGATTTATTCTGAAGTACGTTCGTATTCACATCATTTTCTCTGCAACTGTTTTCAGCCCCCACAGTATCCATAATACTGCTTCCACAAGTCTGTGTATTATAACCACTGTCCACCTGAAATCAAGAAGTGGGGCTTTAAAAATGTACTGCAATTTAACACCACTGAACCCTTCAGATTCTCATACCTAATATGACTTACATATGATTAACAGAACTTAATCCAACAAACCAACTACCATCAATTAATAACAAAAGTAAATTGGAAATGGGTCTGTCAGAATTAGATTAGATTAAGTTAAATGTATTACTGTACATAGTAACATAAAAATGATTTATTGTTATGCTAATTCCACTGAGAGAGGAAAAAGGGGATGTGGTAAACTAGTAAGTCACTATACTACCTGCATGCCACATCCAGTAAGAGAAAATAGACAATTAGTTCCAGAATGGTATATCTATTAAAAGTTAGTATGTTGAGCTCAGCTTTACAGAGAAGTAAAAATACTTTCATTTTTACCTGAATACTACTGTTGTCACAAGGAATTGCACTGCTTTCTGCAAGAGGAGACATGCACATGCGAGAGTTTTCAATACTGAAAGTTATCCCTGTCATAAAACTGGTCATTGGTGCATTGCTACTGCCAACTGTTTCTTTTATCCAAGTGTTTTCTTCCAACACTTCAGCTGCATCAACCATATCTACAGTATTATTCTCCTTTGAGCCTTCTACATCCTGGAATGATGACAACCTTTGGTGACAAGCTTCTGAGTGAGCTGGTGCAATAGACACAGTTGCTACCACGAGATGTGTACCATGTGCAAAAGTATCACCATCTTGCTGACGTAAGTTTATTCCATTATCCATTTCCGGGAAACGAGTTTCTGTTGGAGAAGCATCTTCCTTGTCTTCCTCATCCTCAACATGATTCTCAACTGCAATAGGTATTCTAATGACAGAAGTCTGATACTGGGCAGTTCCTCTACATGCTCCAAGCCTCAAAGGAGAACAGTTTTTAACTGGAGAACAACCATCTATGTAAGGACTTCTTGTACTTGGGGGTGTCATTCTATTTGAGGAAGGAGGAATATCTGGAGAATGAAATGTAAATTTTCTTTGGTCTGTAAAAAAACAGAAGTATTCTATCAGATATCAGGTAAAGTTATCATACTCAAAGCCCTACAGTCCTTTCAAGAATTATAGCCAACTACATAGTATTTCACTGACCAGAGTCTCTCAGCATCACAGCCCTCTTAAAAACCAAAACACCCCCTCCCCCCAAAAAAATCCCAAACCAACCAACCAAAAAACACCGACACATTTAAACTACCATTATAAAGGCAACTTTTTATTCCATTTGCCAAATGGAATTTGTTTCCTATTTTCCTAAACACCAAATTTGTTTCCTATGACATGGTTTGCTGTATTGGAGGCCTTGCACTTCCAAGTGTCAATACTACAGTCACAGAATCGTCAAGGTTGGAAAAGACATTGAAGATCATCCAGTCCAACCATTAACCTAACACTGACAGCTCCCAACTACACCATATCCCTCAGTGCTATGTCGACCTGACTCTTACACACCTCCAGGGATGGGGACTCCATGTCCCTGGGCAGCCCATTCCAAAGCCCAACAACCCGTTCTGAAAAGAAATGCTTCCTAATATCCAGTCTAAACCTTCCCTGGTGCAACTTGAGGCCATTCCCTCTTGTCCTATCGCTTATTACTTGGTTAAAGAGGCTCATCCCCAGCTCTCTGGAACCTCGTTTCAGGTAGTGTTTAAAGGAAAATATGTGAAGGCTGGTTCTGTGGCTTTTTTCCAAACAAATATCAATACCCATATTCTATAGGCATTTAACAAATTTGGAGCAGCAAAAAAGTTTAAGAAAATAAAACGTGAGAAAACACCTATGCCATCTGCACATGGAGTGGTGTTGAAATACCACAAGGCTCATGAGAGCAAAATCATGTATAAACTGCATTAAGTCTTACCAGGTAATGGATGAAACATGAAACACTGACATTTTATAGAGCAGCCAGTACACAAAATGTTTGTGATTTCTTCACTAGTCAGCTTCATTTCAAATAATCTTGGCTTTCACATGATTTGACAGCTCACACTAAACATTTTTGTCCAATTAAAATGCTTCAGGTTGGGCCAAATCAGATTTGTGATCCAACTTAGTTTAGGCATATTGCTTTATAACCCCCTTCTCACACTAGATTAATTCTTTATTTATTTTTTTTTTTTCATTCCTGCTACGTCTCAATTCCTTCTTCTAAAATATTTTCCCTAGTTGATTTTTTTTCATGCAGGTACATTTCTCTGTTTCTCATCATAAAGATATTTCACTGCTAAACAGTAAATGTGTTATATAGGTCACATAGACCAGACACTGCTGGTCTGCCAAGCACGGTAACTTGTCTTTGAGCAGAAAAGAGTTTCAGTAAGAATGCAGGAGTTTTCATAACAAATACATAAAATCAAGAAAGAATACACATACAGATAAATTATACCTGATAGTGGTGTCTGTCTTATGCGAAAAGCAATTGGTGAAAAAGCAGGAGAACCATTATGCACAGGAGACCCCTCTGGAAATGTGGGACTGGTTATACTTCCCAGACTATAAGCCCTTGTTCCTCCCTGAATAGGGCTTGACGAAAACTGACCCTTCAGATAAAAAAAAAAAAAACGAACACATGCTTATTTTCATAATGTAAACTTTGACTAATAATGTACTAATACGTACATTAAAAAGTGTTCTAACTACAGCAGCACTGAGAAAAACTTACTGTGCACAATGACAATCCCTATCACTAGTTTAGCTTAAATATTCTAGTTGCAGGTCTTCACGACTTAGACTTTATGCCTCCATATAGGACCCAAACTGTCACATAATACCAACTGAGACTAGAATATCTGTTAGATTTAAGAACTATGAGAAGCCTAAACAGAGAATTAATGCTATCTGTGTATATAATCAAGTATTTAATCTCAGTTTCTTATTCATACCAATGCAGATGAAAGCCAGCCACTATTTGCATTTTAATGGAATCTGTATTACCTGAATTACTTAACTCAGCAGCAGACAAAATACTCTTCCTTAAGGAAAGAGAACACTGGTTGTGATCTTGCCTAAGAGTATGGTGCAAAAAGCAAGGTCACTTCTAGCAGTATTAATTATGTTGCAGGAATTCTTTACTAGGTTACCATAATGAAGACTTTTTATTTTAAGCCACACTCTTGCTGGGGTAGTTTTTTTCCATGCACTTCAGCTGCCAAACAGATGAAACCATACCACCTAAACCAGTTTAGCTTTGCTATATCCACCTGGGAATAAAATTCATCTTGTTTAATTTAAAATACAGACATTATGTTTTGTGTTCTAATACATGTCTATTCATCTGAAATGGAAAAAAGCATATTTAGCCTTGCATTCAAAGATCCACAAGTCATTTCTTCCACCATAAGTGAGCTATAACTAGTATTTTAGACTGCTGTTCATGGATTTAAGCACACCCTTTTTTGTATACACGTTTTACAAAAAAAAATGGTTTCAGCATGCTTTCAGCGAGTCTTGTGTATGAGCAACTCCTACTTCCTTTTTGTACATAAAATTGACGCATAATTCCTTCTATACAAAAGAATAGCAGCACAACATAATAATTTGATATACTAAAAAGTCCGTAATATATTCTTTCAAGACTTTTTTCGTCATGTTTTCATAATGTATTTTTTTCAATTTGAACCTTTGGTCTAACACCTACTCTGTCATAAAGCAGTTGGAGCTTATTAAATATATGGTTGTTCATCTGGTGAAGTCTGTTAGAACACAGAATTGGTACAGCATACTCTTAAGACTACTCTTGTGCCAGGTAAGTCACACCTGAGCCCCCAGAACAGGCTACTTACTGAACTAGATGTTTCCAGAGGGCTTCTGCACCGGACTGGAGATATGTCTATTGAACAAAGCACTCCAAGTGGCTGACTACCACATGGACTATGTAGAGAAGGGGACAAACACCCAGATACACTTCCATTTTCTTCTAAAAACAGCTTTCTTCTGAGTGATGAAGAGCTCAGATTTTCCTGAGACTGATCTGCAAATTCATCTGTTTTAAAATATTCACCTAGAAATGGGGTGGGGGGGGGAGGGGGGAGAGAAGTAATTCCCAGTAAGAATGCAAGAAAAAAAAAAATAATTGTCCACTACAGAAAGATACATAACTCAATTTAAACATTTAAACCAATTTACCAACACAGCAAGTAAATAATCTAATTAGGTACCTATCCCAAATGATCACTTGTTACCATTACAGTAAATCCACTTTGTCCACTATGGTTCTACTTTTGCCTATCATCCTTTAACATTAAAGTCTGCATTTTAAAAAAAGATACAAATATTAGCTAGCACCTACTTGCTGGCATTTTCCCAAAATTCCATTATTCTTCATATCTGAGTTGTGTAAAAGGGGTTATAATAATACCCAAGCAAACCTAGACCCTTTTTCAGGTCTCCCATATGCACCAATGGTCATTGTGATACATCCAAAAGACAACCCAGATTCAACTTGAAGAAAAGTCAAAGCAGTTAGCAGCTTACAGTAGAAGAGCGTAGAGATGTTAACAAAGACCTATTAAAATATGCCAAGATTTAACAGATTATTTTAGTTTTTTTGCTCTATTCTAACTGGATACTTCTTTCAGAAGACATTTTTCATTAATTCACAAATTATGTACTGATGGAAACATTTGTTAAGACAAAACATGAAAGCAATAGATATGGTTGTCTTTCTGTTTTAATTCTGAGGGCCCACAGTCATGGTCATGAACTTCAATACTGGGATAGGAGCATGCAGTCCAAAACCTCTGAGCTGGCTATATCCACTATTCCCACATATGAGCTGTTAAGAACAGGCCTTTCCAGCCCCCTTGCCTGAGAAGATGGCAGCAATTGCTTGATATAGCAGTTATAATCAGACAGTTAATTTGTCTCCCCACTCTGCAATCATGACATTTTTGCCACCACACAACTTCTAGTCATCACCATAACTTCATTTAAACTAAAAGCACAGAATTACAGCATAGCTATGAGCCTCACGGCCAGCAAAAGAAGTCAAACAGCTCTGCTAAGTTAAAGAACTACTCTGTTTGGGAGAGGCAGGGAGTGTCTGCTGCTTACTACCTGTAAGGAACTGAAGGAAGTAAAGCCTCAAACATTGACACAGAAAAACTCAAGGACAAATTGTGGCCTTTGTGATTAGTCTAAGGAATTAATTATCTGCCTAGGGAAGCAAAGGGTGTATCGAAGGGTGCATGGCTCTGCTCCCTTGCAGTTGTATAACCAAACTCCTTAGATAAGCCTTGAAGGGAGAAGACATAGACTGAGTAAAGCCACATGTTTGGGTTAAGGCCTACACTTTGATTTATGACAATAGCCTCGAAGAACAACTAAAAGATTGATAAGAGATGAACAACTGACACCAGATGGTGTCAGTTGTTCATGACTGGATAATTGCCCAAGAAACAAAAGCTGAGGAAAAGGTAAAGGTAGTAGGGGGAGATCATGATCACTCAGTTGGACAAAAGGGTTAATGTACCCCATCCCCCCCAGTGCAACCACAGAACCCTTGCTCTTCCTTCTGTCCATCTCATGAAAATTAGTTCATGGAATACCTGCCTCTATCTAGTATGGTGATCAGCTGGTAAAATGAACTTTTAAAGGCTACAGAAAACTTTGCTGTGTGTGCACTCACCACCCAAGATCACCAGACCTGAAACAATGCTGGATCGTTGGGTGGTGATCAGAATTTCTTTGACTCTTTCTCTTCTTTTTCTTTTCTTTCCTTTTCTTTCTTACAGATTTCAAAGAGACCACATTGTTTATTACCCTTTTCCAAGTTTAAGTTGTTTCTACCACAAGTAAAATATTTTAACCAGTCATTTGGTGTCATTTCACCTTAATATAGCTTGAGGGATGGGGATCACAGAACTATTACAATACTCTGGGCTCCCAGTCCAGGTCATGACACTATCTTTTATGCATTCAAAATTGTCAATCAATTTCCAGTTGTCTGCCATACCCCTCCTCTTTCACCTTTATGTTTACACACAAATCATATCATTTAAGTCAGATGTTCCATGCAACACACCATTTAGAACACGTAATTAACTTTAATTCATATATCAGGTTTTCATTATTTCCTAAGACAAAAGAACCCCAGCAAGCAATAGAAAAACAATTTTTCTATTTAGACACTCATAACTAAATTTAGATATTACACAACATACCTAGTATTTTCTCTAAATTAAAATCCACGGGCAAAGACAATACTGTCTGACAAGCAGCTGCAATGAATGAAACAACAAAATTAGCTTACAGTGACCCTTTACTAAAACTGTAGAAACAAAAATTGACTTTCAAATTGCACTGCAATTGAGCTATTTAAGTTACAGTTGCAATAAGGGAAATTGTTAATTAAAGCTAGGATTCTGATCTGACAACACTGTATGGAGCACACACAGGCCTAGAGATAAAAAAAACAAGGATTGTAACATAAAAGCCTTTAGAGAGGCATTCTTAACTGAGGAGAGAGGTCTCTGAAGAAAGGATTCAAAAGGAAATGGGAGAAAGATCATCAGAATACACTGGGGAAAAACACTACCCATTTATCTAAAACAAAACAGTTTAAAAGATGCCTTAAGATTTCTGCTATTTATTTGGCAGAGAATTAAGATTCTCTAACCCCAAACAATCCAACACATTAAAGGTTTCTTGAAACTGTAGTTTACCTGTAAACCTGAGGCTTATATTCACTTTTTAATTCAGAAAAAGTGCATATATTGAGTTGGAAAAAATGCACTCCACTGTCTACAGAGGACTGTTTTTACTTCAGAAAAAATTTGAGAGTATAAATTACTAGGAGAAATGGATAATTAAAATTAATAGTACCATACAGTTCCAGAAAAATTATTTCAACATGAATATTAACAAAAAATCATTCCTTTTTGAAACTAAATAGCCATTAAGAAAGAGGTTATTTTGCTTTGGAGAGAGCCTGTATTTTCAGACATTGCCTTTTACCCACCATTGCTTTTCCCAGGCTGCAAAGTTAGCTGTCTTCCAATCGGAGAAATGTTATTTAGATCTATGGCTGTAAAACAGGTAAGAACTTAAATTTAAGCATGCATTACATATACAGTTTTGAAACCTAGCAGTAAGTTAGAATACTTACTGCTACTAAACAAAATTTTTGCATTGAAGTATGTAAGAGATTAGAACAGAGTATTGAAGAATGGTTACTATTATAGCTGGTAATTTCAGCACCTTTCTATTCAAAAAAATGCATCGTGAAGTAGCATCAACTTTGCACAAATCTTTGCCTCCTGCAGCCTCCTCTACATTAGAGATTTAAGCCAAACTCAGTTCATTCTTAGTCAAACAGTCTGCGTTCAAGTAAAACACATTTGCAGAAAATCATGCAGTCTGGACTTAAAGACAACAATGAAGAATCTGCTACTGCACCGTTTTTACACAGCTAAGCAACACACCAGACCATTTTCTTTCACCATTCACTTACCCAAGTCTAGGATTGTGGCTTATGTTCTCTGCCCTAGAAGTGATGATCTTACAACTGACAATTAAAAATACACTATCCACAATCTGCATCTCCCCGATAAAAAAAATTTAACAGTTTAGCCTCTTCCAAATCTTGCAAAAAATCCTCAAACGCTTATTTAAGAATTTCCTAAGAAATGATACTGAATGCAAAAACAATACTTTATGGCTGATATTTGTCCATCTTGTAATCCATTTACTATGTATTCAGTTGGTTATATATAACTTTAATAACAGCATTAATAATAAAATCTAATAATGGTGTAAACAAAATAAACTCCACAACTCTACAGTGACAGTAAGCTAGCAGGACACTTAATGGACAACAGCAATTTATGTAGCAAGTAAAGTGTAGAAACATATGAAACTCAGTTTCCCCTATACTTATATTGGCAGGAGAGCAGTCAAGAGTCAGACATGAAGAGTCAGACATGCAGGTATCAGAAAAAAAAGAGTGAAGTAGAAGATCTGGCTATTACCAGTATTCTCACAGCAAAGTTATGTGTAAATTAAACTGGCTGAAGACAGGTTATGAAAGGAAAAAGATTTAAGAAAAGGAACCGAAAATAACAAGAAGGAAATATTACATAGAATTCTGGATTAGTAAGGGTTTTTTAAACAAAGAAAGCACCTTGAGAGAACAGCTACAAATTTATCAGTTGTGCCACCTTTTATCATTGGTTCTTAAAATTAAGGGTAGAAAAAAACCTTATGCTTGATGTTTTCTCCAAAACCTAGATAAATTTGGGTGGACACACAAAAGCAACTTACATTTAGTTGAATTAAACTGAGAAACTTGCTTGCCTTCATGTTCAGTCCATGGAGAAGGAACTATGAGTCTTTTTGTGAAAAACTAGAGCAGAATAGAAACAAACCATCTTAGCACTTTTAAAAACTGGAGACTCAAAATTTAGATTAGTACCCTGGAACAAGAAAAAATTAAATCATAACTTCTGCTATTCAGTTCTCTATTTTAAGAATTGTAACTTCACCAAAATTTCCTTCCCCAAAACCTACAGTTATCCCTTACACCCAAAACACATTATTTCAGGCCCAGAGATGTTAAAGAAAAAACAATTTGATTTGAAAAATACTCCCATGTTCTTTATGACACATACCACATTAGATCTTTCAAGTCTGAAGAGTGAAAATCGTACAAAGTTTTCATTTAACCCTAATTACTCATGTAAAAATTAGAACTGTCTCAACCATAGTTATTGCAGAGTAGTTTAACATAAGTCTTTTCAAATGTTGTTTGTTGTATTTTGACAACTGTATTTGGTTTGAAGCACTACAGAAACACTGCAGTAACAGAATAAGAAGTGGACAACCAAGGCTTTTTGGCAATATTAATGTATTTGGCTAAACTGGTTAGCAGCAAAACATTTAAGACTACTGGCATTTCAGTCTTTTTCTCTGAACCAGAAACTATCTGGCTGTCACAGTTGCACTCTAGAACACCCTGATGCTGAGGACATGAACACTATTATACAGCTTCAAGAAATACATGGTAAATCCTGTTCTCACAATAAAAGCAAGACTCAGAGCAAATGAAAGAGAACTTGGATTGAAACATCCAACTGTTAAAGGCATAATTTTTGTCAGGGACACGGTTTCAAACTGGCGAGTTGCATAATCAATTATCTTGTGCTTCACAAAGAAGAAATATCCTTTTAATGCAGATTTAGAACAACAGAGTATCTTAGCTGCAGGTCTACTACAGAGCACCTTTATGGAATCATAAAACCTGTTTTTTTGTTTATAGAGACAGAAACTGATAACAGCATGATACAATATAAAAAGATCAGTAACACTAAGGAAAACTTGTCTAACAGAGCCTTAGTTAATTTTTTTAATTGAAATAACATTAAAGATTTCTATAGTGAAGATTTCAGTTTTCTTTCTCTCCTAGACAGACAGTAAAAATGAAATGAAAAATAAACAGAATTACAAGCTACCAAAAGGTCTTGCCTCCAACTAAGCAAACTTTGAAATAAATAAAAAATAACCAAAGTTCTGCTAGATTCTTAAAAATGCGATATAAGAACCTAAGCTACCTAACAGTTCCTGTAAAACCCTAAATAATAATTATTTTTAACCTTAAATTAACTATTTAAGAGTTATTGTACAGCTACATTCCCACTAGCTCAGCAACACAAAAGAAACAGTCTGCTATTTTGACATACAGGTATGTGAAAGAAGATGGGAAGAAAAAGACCATGTGGATTCCAACTACAACTGCAAGGGATGAGGACACAAAATTATTTTCTTAATAACCAGTAAATAGGCTTCTGGGTTTTCAAATTCTATAATAGATATGGATCTTTTTTGTACATATATAGCTAAAACAAATCAATACTTGATAGCATAGACAGTTATTACCTACCTCCTCAATGGCTTTTTGCCTTCTGTCTTCTGTCTCTTTATCAATTCTAAGTAACAAATGAAAAACAACTAAATTACCAAAACCATCACAACTGTAATCTTCTACATATGCTTAAGAAAAACATCATAAATGAAGTTATACTAAACCCTAAATCTTATGTTTTTACTGTTACGTGCAGTAGTCTCTTACCATAAATTTAGAAATATAAATGCACTTCTCAGTTCAGTTCATTTGAAAAAGGTCAGTACCATTTATAGCTAGATATTTGTAAATCTTCTATTTGCTCCTTATATCAATACGTCTTTTCATCGATACAAAAACTCAATCATAACTGATCCTCCAGAATAATCCCTTTAGTTATGTTGAACTTGTCATATGAATAGGTTTTACTATTCAAGTTGCATGACATTATTAGGCTTACAAAGAATGTCAATACAAAATCAAGCAGAGTAAAAAAACCTGAGCTGTAAGGAATGAAAGGGCAACAGAAGATACTCATAAGAATGTCTACATACTCGAATTCCTGACAGAGCCCACTTTTCAAATAGCTAGTATGATGTATTTTCTTCAGTTCAGGATACAATATTATATTTCAGTTTGAATCAATTAATACATTCCCTTATGCAGCTTTTGACTTTAAAAAAAAAAAACCAAAACACATTGTAGTTACTTCAGTCATCTTCAAGTGATATGAGAGATTATTCAATTATACTTCCTTTAACAGTGACCGTCAAGTCTCACTTTCAGTTACTACTGTGTAATTTATATGCTTCAAAAAATTTTAGAATTAATATTCATTGTCTTCGCTGAGTCACACAACACTTTCATACAGTTAGTATACCTTAATTACCCTTGAATAATTTTGGAAATGTCAGATAATGGATATAACTCTCTACATAAACACATGTCAATGTGCCTAATACATACATAAGCTTTCCCTCACATATCTCTTTGCTTTCATGCTAATCAGACTTTGAACAGATCTGCAATATTTGGACATGCCATCTTCAGTTATATCTGCCTAGATGATGCTAAAGTGACATGAAGACACTTGCACAAAATCGTGCTGTACCAAAAAACAAGCATACAATCACTGAGTATGCATAATGGATCACGAGTAACAAGCATCTTTTAGAAGACAGATTCTGAAGGGGAAACAGGGGAACTGGGAAAACAGCTTCCACTAAACGTGCTGGTTAGTGCAGAAGAGGATGTTTTTTCTTCAGTGCATGACTTCAGGAAAATAACAAAGTGAAGATGTCCTATGTATTTAACAAGAATAAAAAGAAGCCAGTCTTGTATGCAACTTCAAGCAGTTGAGCACTTGCAGCTGTGACACACAGCATGCAAGGTACAGTACAGATTTCTTTAATACTTAACATATAATAGGATAGCATCCAATTTAGAAACAGTCAATTTCTGCCGGTACAAATAAGAGAAAGAGGAAAGTTCGTGGACAAGACTGTCACTGTCTGCTCAATTACTATTTTTCACTAACACAGTCTGCCAGAAAAGTTCTCCTAATAATTTCATAAGCAGTGCAATAAACACACACATAAGATGACGCCTGGTTTATGGAAACAGTAATATTGCACAACATAAAGTCTACATGTGCTACACACTTAAACTTTGAAAAGTGTTCATGAGCTTTTACACTGTGCTGCTACCTAAATTGTTTTCACAGTATTTGAAATATTTATACACCAAATTTCTTATGCTTGTGGTTCTTTGCAACTACCTAAGAAACATGACTTGTTAACAAGAGTTATTAAAATGGAGAATACACTTTGTGTAACATTATGCATGTGTTTCGAAAACTCAATTCTTTTATCAGGAACTTTTAATGTCAAGAGCTTTATTTATGACATGTAAAGGTGCCACAAAGCAGTATTTATGAAATGTAAATTAAAATCAGTTGGCATACAAAAATCTTACATACACACACATATAAGCATATATACATTTTACTATGTACAGTTTGCAGCCACCAGAAACAACCTCCTCAATCTTTACAACTGAAACATGCAAGTATGATCACAGAAAACCTACACATAGACAAAAAAAAAAAAAAAAAAAAAAAAAAATCACACTGGGTATGAAAAGGTGGGACAGGCTGAAGGATCCACTGAGACAATGCATGTTTGTATCTACAGGCCATGCGACTAATCACTATTTGGAATTTTCACCTAAGCCATCTAAATTAAAGCTAGCTGGTGTGTGTCCTAGCAGACTTTCAGAACCAATGTAATCAGCTTTCTAAAAACATAAGGCTCAAGGATTTATAACACATAAAACACATCAGTCTGCAACCCACTGGCTGCTAAAGGCCAGGAAACAGAGATTAAGAAAAACAGTATCAATATTAAGACATGGTGATTCACAGATACAGCTAAGGACAATTATATTCTTTCTACATCTCTAGCAAGAAATTCTTATTCCTTCATGCACCTCTTACTCTTAAAAAAGATCTCCAGTTCAGTCAGACACTAAGAACAATAGGTCTAATTCATGGTATCTTTTAGGATGAGGGTGGTGAAACACTCGAACAGGTTGCCCAGAGAGGGCCCATTTCTGAAAACATTCCAAGGTCAGGTTGGATGAGGCTCTGAGCAACTTGATCTAGTTGAAGCTGTCCCTGCTCTCTGCAGGGGGGTTGGACAAGATGACCTTTAAACGTCCCTTCCAACCCAAACTATTCTATAATTCTATGACTATTCAGAAGACCCTTGCCCTAACAGCCCCTCTGTCTGTGCTTCATTTCACTAACAGGACTTCAAAGTCCTATCAGCATAAACAGGATGGAAGATTGTTTTTTTATTACCGTGGTGCTTCATGTCATGAGGTGCAATTCTTTGTGCAAGTTCACACCTGAGAAATGTATGGGAGCATCTACAGGATCCACCACTGTGACCTTCTCTTGAGACACTGCTCTGTACTACTAGTGGGTAAGCATCCCTCAAGATGAGCTGTGAATACCAAGCCTGTTTTACTTATTTTCCCCATGGATTACTTTCAGAGAAAGGAAAACGTTGAAATCAAGATCCCCAAATTATTTGAAGTAACTATCAATCTCCTCCTCCAAGACAGAAAGGTTATTGGTCTTCCTGCCTTCACATTAGGTCAAATCTAAACCTTTCACAAAGGGTACTGGCTTACCTTGCTAGCTTTCCCAGCTCTACCCTTCTGCAGGGGTCCCAAAGACCAAAGAAGCCTACACTCCACAGATCTCTTTATGGAACACTGAGAAGATAAATTGTGCTGTGACAAGGACTAGGAGAAGTAGCTTGGTAACAATCACTAGCAAGACATTTTCTTGCTTCTGTTGAATGCTTTTACCTGGCTGTCTTCCAAACTGCAGTCAGAGTGGATCAGCAGTTCTTAACATTAAAAAAGAGCAACACAGAGGCAGCCTCATCTAAATACTATATTCACATCATGGAAACATAAAATTCTACATTAAAAGATTTGAATAATAAGTCTTTAATGCCATGTTGACACATCAATAAAGCAAAAGAACAGTGTTCTAACATTCAAGCTAAGTTAAGTGCATAAAAACAGATGGTAAGTTACCTAGCATGACTCAAATACATTGCTTGGCGTCGAACATCTTCTGAGTCAATTTCCACAGGATTTATTAGAGCAAGCTGATCAATAGACCATCTAAATTTTCCTGGTGTCTAAAACAAAAAAGAAATGGACAACTTAATGCTTACTAGTCTAAAAAGATAAAAATTAAGTCATAGGACAAATCTCAGTGGAACAGTGCAAACATAGCTTCCATATAGTTTCTGCCAAAGACAATCAAAAGAGTTTCTATTTAAATAATCTACTTTAAAAAATGAGCAAGTCAATCAGGCTTCTTTATCCTGGTAGTGATATTACAAGAATTTACAAGGTAATATAAAATGGAAGGTTACAGCTAATATTTACAAACTCAGGTATCAATTTCTTCTCAATTTGAGGACAGATCCACTAAAGATACAGAACTTGGGATAAAATTTAGTTGCTTCTAGATTGCCATAATAAAAATCGCGCTTCTGCGAAAACCCAACATCCATATCTAACCCAAGTTATCCAAATAATGGAGCAGCCTTCCTTTCACCTCACATTTCCAAGAAGAGTTGCAACCCCATACACATCCCAAAGTCCTTCCATAACACTACCCATAGTTCACAACAAAACCCAATTCAGATGTAAATCAGCTTCACCTCTTTATTTAACAATTAATTGTAAACTACTGTTCAAACATCTGTTTGAAAAATGATCTACCAAATGAGTCTTTTTAGTTTCATTACCAAAGCATCATCTCTGTTAATCAGATAATTCCAACTGCAATCCAGAATGCAATTTGCAACTAAAAAATGTTGTATATACACAAAATCATTAGCTTGATTCTGTGAATATGTAAACAGCTCATAATGTAAGTGCAATTAAGTTTTACTTGCATCCAGCCTGCTTAGCATGTAAGTAGGAACTGGGATTTTTCCACTTTTAAAGTGGGTCAGGAACACCACATCCAACAACTGTCCTTTATATACTTTCAGCTGGTTTTGGCCCTTATCAGGTATATGCTCATCTACTGATACACCTAATATCTAAAGAAAAAACACATCAGGAGAGTAGGAAGACTAAGTGATAGCGTTAAAAGCAGCATACTCCAGTAATCAGAACTACCAAATGCCACCAAAATTCTTCAGCTTGAAGTACACTATATACACTTAATGCATTTCAGAATATTAGCACTGCATCTATAAAGTTACACAACTGAAGACTAGATCTTACAGATGAGGAAGTTGTTGATTTAAAGACTGAAGGGCTGGAGACAATCTGCTCCTGAAGAGTATAATAATCACTAGGACTTTCAAAAGGATTCAGGACCGTGACTCGTCCTGGAGTTTCTGGTGTTATCTGCATTTTAGACTCTTTTGTATCACCCATAATACTAAGCTATACCTAGAAAAGAGAGGAAGAAGAAGAAAAAACAAAACAAAAACACGAACATTATAATTTGGACTTTTAGAGTTAAACTGAAGGTTTTGGGAAGAGATGACCAATTATTTTTAAGGAGCCATAAACATTTAAAAGACTAACAAAGTCAGTTTTGGCTTGGACCTATGTGTGTGAACAGCTGATAAATAAGTCTGATACAAACAACAAAATAAATAAAAACTATGAAAAAGAGACAAGAAATGACACGGACAAGGCAATTTAGAAACAAAATTCACAAACAACAAACACCCAAATGAGAAAATAAAAAAAAAAAACAAAACCAAACACCACCACCAGAACAAATCAGCGATGCAGCCAATATATTCCTGGAGGACAGCTCACATACCAAACGCCGGCACTCCAGAACTTCAGGAATAAAGCGGTATTACTAGAATGTGGGCACAGCACATGGCCGACCTCCCCGGGGCCCTCGGTGCCAGCCAGCCCTGCGTTACCCACAGGCTGAGGAGCAAGCACAGAAAGAAAGGAAGAGCCACCGCCACAGTGGCGAGCGGGGGCTGCTGGCAAGGCTGCCGCCGCCCACACCGGATTGCCCCAGAAGCTTCTGGCTGCAGGCAGCTAACCCCGGGCGGCGGGAAGCAGCCGTGCCGGCCAACACCGCCCTCAGGAAGGTCCCGCTTCGCTCGGGCGCTAAAACCGCTCCCGGGCCGAGGCCGGCCTCAGCCCCCCAGCAGCACCTCCCGCACGGGAGAAGTGGCGGCGGG